CTATTACCTCCACTTTGCAGAGGGGGAAGCCTCTTTTAAGGATCTTGCCTAGGCCGGGCTCCAGAGCTAATGCTCTTAACCATTGGTCTGTAGCCACCTGTGTAATGAAACTGCTAAAACACACATTTATTATAAAACCAAAATGTTGGACTGATACAGCAACATGCTTGAACCACAGTACTTCTATAGCATATGCCCCTTTCCAGCCCCTTAACATAATTTTCATCTTTTTGTGTTGCTGTTTCCACCCCATTACACTGCACTTCCTGTCTTCTTGCTCTTTTCACCTCCTTTCCTGCTTATATGAAGGTGCGCATTCATACGCTGTCCTTCTGGTATCTGCCCTGTGTCGTAGATGATGTCAGCAATGTGCGTGCGTTGTCAGGGCAAATTGCTTGAAAACAGCCTCTTTCACAAATACACAGTTCTCATCCACTAATAATTGTCTGTTCTCTGGGCTTTTGTATATATGTATGGTCTTTCATATTCCGTCTCCTTTCTTGGTTGGCTCACTTTTTTTTTTTTTTTTTTTTGGTGAGGAAGATTAGCCCTGAGCTAACATCCGTTGCCAATCCTCCTCTTTTTGTTGAAGAAGATTGGCCCTGGGCTAACATCCATGCCCATCTCCCTCTAGTTTATATGGGACGCCACCACAGCATGGCTTGACAAGCAGTGTGTCAGTCCACGCCCGGGATCCAAACCTGTGACCCCCGGCCTGCCCAGCAGAGCGTGCAAACCCAACCACTATGCCACCGGGCTGGCCCAACTCACTTTTTTTTTAGATTTTATTTATTTTTTTCCCCCCAAAACCCCAGTAGATAGTTGTATGTCATAGCTGCACTTCCTTCTAGTTGCTGTATGTGGGACTCGGCCTCAGCATGGCCGGAGAAGCGGTGCCTTGGTGCGCACCCGGGATCCGAACCCAGGCCACCAGCAGCAGAGCGCGCGCACTTAACTGCCAAGCCACGGGGCTGGCCCCCAACTCACATTTTTATATACAAACATTTTCTCATGCCATGTGCCACTCCTGCCCCTTAGACCCATTACAGACAGACACCCTTACTGAGCCAGAGACATACATTTCTTTATCTGTTAGCAGAGGCAGTGTGGTGAGCTGCACGGCAATCAGCAGCAGTCACAGTAAGGGTGATGATTCTTAAAGACCAGAATGATCTGAAACATTAAGGCCTAGGGAGAATTCTGGGTTCTGGACAGAGCTTCCTATTAGGGACCATCTTCTTCATTGCTGTTTATTATTAGGCATCCCTTCTCACTGTCTTTACTTTTCAGTAAATTGAGGAAAGGGGAGACTGTGTGTTTGTCACCTGAAGTACGTCTGTCTGTGATGGAATTTAAGCCTAGATATGTGGGGTTGGAGAGTAAGGTGCTGTGGTAGCATGAGTGATATAAACTCATGTGAATGCATGAGGTGCAGGGAAGAGACAGCACATTGCAGGCCATATAGAAAAGGGACAGATGATTGTGTGTGTGTGCACATGTAACACAATTTTTATGATAAACTGAGGAGCCCACTGTGTCGGGCTGGGCTGAGCCATAAAAGTTCTTGCCAATCTACTGCAGTCACCCAACCTGTAGGATCCTGGGAATGGAATGTATCTAGGCAATTCTCTGTATTCTTGGGGCCATGGCAGATATATTTCTGGCCCCATGGCATCATAAAATGTTACACACCCATCTTCCCACAAGACACTTAATGAATCAGGGCCTAGTTGTCTGCAGCAGTCCAGGTGAGATGTGAGGGGAGGCTGTTTTGCATAGTGGTTAAATCTGAGACCTCTGAGTCAAATGGAGATAGTAATAGTATCCACTTCAAAGATTTGTGAAGATTGAGACAGTGCTTGTCAAGTTGCTGAGCATGGTCTCTAACACAAAGTTAGCTAAAGTTAATAACCAAATAAACAAGTGTGCCCCCTGTGGCCCATATCTTGACTGAGACTCTTGGATTCCTGGACCCAGTTCCAACATGGGGCAGGGAGCATTCCCCACACCTGCAAACCAATGCTTCAGGTACCACTTGGGTATCCTAACAATTCAGCTCAATTCTGACGCTATCTGAGACAGCATCAGATTCCGCAGGTTAGGGGTTCAGTCCTACAAGACTACCTGCCCCCTTCAGATGCCAGTCCCAAGTCCAGATTGTTACCTGTACTTCTGACCAATTGGCTATAAATCGAAAATTCCCATGACCTCCTCTCCTTGGGTTTGATTAATTTGCTAGAGCGGCTCACAGAACTCAGAGAGGCATTTTACTTACTAGATCACCAGTTTATTATAAAAGGATGTAACTCAGGATCAGCCAGGTGGAAGAGATGCATAGGGCAAAGTATGGGGAAAGGGCGCAGAGCTTCCATGCCCTCTCTGGATGGGTGGGCCACTCTCCCAGACCTGCATATGTCCACGAACCTGGAAGCTCTCCAAACCCCATCCATTTGGGGTTTTTTTGAGGCTTCATTACATAGGCATGGTTGATTAAATCATTGGCCATTTTGGGGATGGAGCTCAATGTCCAGCCCCTCTCCCCTCCCTGGAGGTCAAGGGGGTGGGACTGAAAGTTCCAACCCTCTAATCACATGGTTGGCTCCACTGGCAACAAGCCACCATCATTAGGTGCTTTCCAAAGTCACCTCATTAACATGCAAAGGACACCTTTGTCACTCTCAACAATTAGGAAATTCCAAGGGTTTTGGGAGCTATGAGCCAGGAACTGTGGACTAAGGCCAAATATATGTGAGAAATATATTTTGATCATCTGAATGATCAAACATATTTCTTATAAGTCACAATATTGCAGAGGCTAAGATCTATTTTCCTTTTTACAGTGTTCTTCCCCCTACCCGCCTTCTTCATCAAAGAGAGCTTAGCTCTGCATTGGCCTCTTCACCCACAAGAGTATTTATTAGTTCTGGGAGGTTGGGTAGGACATTCCTTTATCTTTATCTTCCATTGGCTTAATTCCTTTATTTTCTTAGGGAGACAAGAATTGGCAACATGTGAAGGCATTTCTCTTGCCATATCAGGCTGACCAGTATGAAATTATCTCTATTCCAATGTACATTTTAAACCAATTTTGTATATTAGTATGTCCTTTGGCCTTTCGAATTGGGAAAACGAAAAATAAAAACAATTAAAAACAGTATTCTGCAGTAGAAGATCCAATTGACCTTTGTTTTACTTTTTGTCATCCCAGCCAAAGTTAGATGATCAAATGAAACTTTAAGAACTGACCTCTACTAAACACACCGTGCCTTAAAATTACACTAAACTCCCTTTGGTGTCTATGAGGCTTTCATATTTGATTCTATTTCCTGAACTGCCTGGTTTTTTTCCTGCCTGTCCTTCAAGACTTGAATGTCATTCCCCAGGAAGCTGCTCCTAATGTCTCGTCCCTGACAATATATACTTTTCTAAAGTTAGATAGCCTCACTTGAAGCACCCGGTATTTATCCTATCTGTAGTAATTCCCTGCACTTCAGTAGTGTGTGTATGTCTCTTCCTTTAGACTGTGGACCCCTTAAGAGCAGGGAGTCAATCTCATTCATCTTTACATTGTCAATGCTTGATATGCTCACGCAAACGCCTCAGTTAGGTGAGTTAAGCCTTAGGGCTGCTTGGTGTGTGTTATTAGTTTATGAGGACATCTTGTGGCTAAATCATTTATTGTATAAATAGATTTGATCCTGTTCTAACATTTATTTTTCCGTTGATTTATCTGTTAGGCAAAACATAACCTGATATTGTTTAGGATGGTTTATATCATATGGTTCAGTTTCTGTTTTATTTCAGGGCCTTCTAGGGGAAAACAATAGCAAAACCACTGAAGTTGTGGTTTGTGAAACTGAAATGTGTTCGTGGTGGGTGACTACAGACTTTATAGTTAGCGACTAGGGAAACGTGAAGGTAGACAGACCTAGATCTAAATCTCAGTTCTGTCACATCCTGGGTGACCTTGAGAATAAACCACTCTGAATTTGAGTCACCTACAAAGTGGAAATTGTCCCTTCCTTATTATATAGTATGTGTAAAGTGTTTGGCACAGTGCCTGGCATATGAAAGTGCTCAATAAATGGTAGTTACCTAGAATCTAACTACCCATTTAACGCTTGAGACATTGCACCACCCCCAAATACAACAGACACACCAAATATTCATCCATGTTCTGCCTGAACACCTCTAGTGATGGCGACAATTACTGTTGCTGGACACAGCACATTCCATTCATAGTTCAGCTCCAGCTTCTAAATACACTATGATGTTTTCTCCTAGTAATTTAGATAGGATGTAAGGAACACATTTCTATTCTTTTTCTATAAATGTCCTTTTTAAAGATGTTTGATACAGAATTTTAAATTCAGTGTTCCACGTTTTATCTTTCATGTAATTCTTTTCATTATGATACTCTAAATGGGGCAGGACCTTAAAAACAGCAATTTAACTTTGCTGGATTCTGCTGTTAAACTTTTTATTTTATATTAAAATGGATTTATGGTATAAGCATATTAATTCTGGTAACTCATTGAATTACTGAATGTCTTCCAGTCTGTTTTTAAAATTGTTTTAAACCATTCAGTATGGAAGTTATTTTAAAAAGTACTCTGTGCAAAAACTTAGGAACCTGCAAATTAAAGCTGTGATGACTTAACAGATCACAGGGACCGGCTGGTTTTGTGGGTGCAAAATTTCTAAGGAGACGTTAAGAAATGCCAAGTTGTTGTACATAAGGCCGAAAAGCTCAGATGAAAGGTTTGATTTCTGCAGAGGAGTGGCGATTAGTAAAAACTACTATTTTTCCCTAAATATTCCTTAAACAATTTACATAAGTGTTAGTTTCTACTATAGAGAGATTGGTAACATACTTGAATTTCTGAATCAGTTTTTTTGAGGTAACTCAGTTTAATCCAATGATAGTTCTTGATGGGCTGTTTGGGCTTTTCTAATACCACAGAATGTTCAAAATTCTTTTTTTTTTTTTTTCGTTCTAGATAACTGTTGTCTCTGCTACTCCTGGGAAAGTGATTTGTGAAATGAAAGTAGAAGAGGCGCATACCAATAAAATGGGCACTCTCCATGGGGGTATGATAGCCACCTTAGTGGATAACATATCAACAATGGCTCTGCTATTCACAGAGAGGGGAGTCCCTGGAGTCAGTGTCGACATGAACATAGCGTATGTATCCAAACTGTACTCCAAGTAACTCTTTTTAATGTGATAACTCATTTCAAACAACTGAGACTAAACACATATATAACATAAGGCATGAGGCGCCCTTAGTTGGTCATCCTGAAGTGTGGCTATAGATTTGCCCTGAAATATTCCATGGCCTTAGAATTTAGAACCAGAAGAACTAATTTCCAAGTGTAGTATATATCAGTAGTAAAGGGGGGAATGATCTAAACATTCAAAAAAGCAAACATTCAGCTTCTAATATGTACATGGGTGGGGAAAAAAATCATCACAAACTCATGCCTCGTCACTCTTAAAAGTGCCACTTGTACAGATGTCTTATGAGGGTTGTGTTGAGTACATATAGAGAAAAGCCTGAATAAAATTCACAGAAAAGTTGGAGAAACCTTCATATATATGTTGTCATCTCCTTGTGACAAGGTGAACACAAATGTCCAGTTAGTTTTGCAATTCTGCATCTCTCCCTGCAACTGCACAGACATGCTCTGTAGGTTTAAACTACATGATCAGAGAGCAGAACCCCAGAAGTCAGGGTGTCACTGTTGTAAAAATGCCTGCATGGGTCTGACGTTTCCAAATGTACAAAATTCAATTCCAACGTTAACTAGTACTGTTGCCAGTCCTGTTCATTAAAGAGTGCAGGGCCCAGGAATTTAGTTTCAAGACAATTGCTTTTTCCACCTAAGCAACAGAAAAATGATTTTTGTTGAGGGGACAGGCAGGGGTTAGGGTGGGAAAGCCAGTTATGTGACATAAGGGCAATGTAAATAATGTCAGTTATCAGGTTTTTAAACAATCTAAATCTTTTATTAGTTTAACTTAAGAAACATTCAGTCCCTCTTTACTATGGAAATAAATTGAGGGTTGCAATAAGCAAATCACAGGACAAGATGCAAGTGTTCTTTTGAAATTAAAATGTACAAAAAGGAAAGGGTCTGCTTGTCCTGGTGAGCATATTCAGCAGTCCTTATGGCATGTGATGAAGGGTAAGACCAGAGGATGACTCTGCTTTGCCACAAGAGCCTCAGTTAAGAGCAGAGAGATCTTCAAACCTCACGCTGCATTTCATGATCTTCTAAGATACTGCTGGTTTCACAACCCTAAGAATTTTTAATAAGCCAAACATAGTTTAGGCCTTTCAAAGTATGTGTTGCCAAAAGTACTGGTCACCATCAAGAGCTGCCTGAGCTGCAAAAATCAATTCACTTGAACAGAAACTAGGACATAGTCTCAAAGATTTACTAGAGATATTTCAAAAGTAAATGAATGAAAGCTTATTACAAGTGGGTAGGAAGTGGATATAACATATGCATGTATATATGTATGTACAATTCATCACCAGGATTGTAAGGAAGGAGCTCATATTAATTCCCTATAATTCTTATATTAAGCCATTTTGGAGTTAAGTAAATTCTAAATATTGATATGACAAGATGTAGACATCAAGTAATACTTCACCTAGGAAGTAAAGCAGATTAAAATGAAAGCTAGAGGAAATCTTTCACCAGCCCCAAATAAATATGAAGTGGGAAACTTAAAAGAAAAAAAGGGGGGTGAAAATCCTTTCTCATATTTATGGGAAAAGAAACTTGTGTGGATAAGGAATGGGTAAGATGGAACTTGGTCAGGACCAGCCATTCAAATTTGAATATCAGAAAGCTTACTGAAATTAAATGCTTTTTAGGAGTAGAATACGTAACATAAGAAGCCTGTTCTGTGATGCACACAACTTTCCCTTTTAAAAGTTATTTGCTGTTAACTGTATTTGTTTCCTTTCAAGGTACATGTCACCTGCTAAACTAGGAGAAGATATACTGATTACAGCACATATTCTGAAGCAAGGAAAAACCCTTGCATTTACCTCTGTGGATCTGACGAACAAGGTCACAGGAAAAATAATTGCACAAGGCAGACACACAAAACACCTTGGAAACTGAGAGAACAGCAATGTCACCTGAAGAAACCCAACAATGAATATCAAGTGTAAATTTGACTTGAACAAATGTAATTTTCAAAATAAATTAGCACAACCAGAAGTACCTAATCCTTTCTTTGGGGAAAAGGACATAGAGACCATGTGAGATACAGGGTGAGGGTGTCTGTTTTTTCATTTTAAGCCTCTTCAGTTTGTTTTTTGGTTTGTTTTTTTCTGTGTGAGGAAAATCAGCCCTGAGCTAACATCTAATGCCAATCCTCCTCTTTTTGCTGAGGAAGATTGGCCCTGAGCTAACATCCGTGCCCATTTTCCTCTACTTTATATGGGACGCCGCCACAGCATGGCTTGACAAGCTGTGTGTCGGTCCGTGCCTGGGATCCGAACCTGCAAATCCTGGGCGGCCACAGCAGAGCATGCAAACTTAACCGCTAGGCCACCAGGCCAGTCCCTCTTCAGTTTGTTTATGATACTTACATGAAAAAAATTCTTAGCTGAGTGTTTTAAAAACTTAGGTAAAGCAAAGAAGCAGGCAGGGCCGTTTTGAGATAAGACTACCTTAAAACTCAAGCCTATTATTAAGCTAAAGGAGAAATATAAATTAATGATCAATCCTTAATGAATTTTAGGCCCCCTTAGCTCTAAAATGCCATGCTACATTTCCATTTTTTTAACCCAATTTCAAGATTATGGAACTTCAAAACAGATGAACCATAGCCCATATTGGAAAATAAAATAGAGCCATATGACCTAAAATTGTCAAGAAAGTTTGAGGCAAAGCACATTAGTGCTATAGGAGAGTCCAATGGGTGTGCTGCTTTTCTCTGATAGAGAACTTATCACAGGACTGGTATATTTTATATTAATGGAAGCAGAAAAGCATACTCTTATTAGCCACTTTTCTAGTACCCAGAATAAAACCAGGCAGATCTTGAACCTCCCAGTCTACAGTATGGAAGAGACCACGTTCACAAATTGTTTAGTCCATTTCTCCAAGTTCTCGTGACCACAGCGTTAATATTTGATTTCTGCATCAGGGAGTCTTAGTGAACATTCTGTGACTAAACATCAAACAGGAAGCAACTTTAAATAATGTGGAAACACAGTCAGTAGTTAAAGGTTGATTTTCCTTTGCTTGTATTAGAATACATGCTGATCTGTGCTGGATGGACAGAAGCAGACTTCACAGGAGTAGTGAGCACAGAGGGGACCAGGATCTTCATTTCTAATGTTTCCCACTGAAAGGAACCTGGGCTCCTTGGAGCAATAGCTGATTCCAGGGCTGGAAGCTAGGATAGGGAAGTTACAAGATGAACGTGTCTTGTGCTGGGAAGTAAGGAAGTGCTCAAGAAAATCACAGAGGCATGCAAATTATGCAGCATTGGAAACAAAAGGAATTGTTGAGTCTGTACTGTTCGGGTAGATAATAAATGGCAGAGACAGGATGCTCTTCCTTATAAATGAATGCTAATAACGTGGAGGAAGGGATAGACGTGGAAAATTACCATTTTGCACCATCATAGTGCCAACTGATTATGGCAAAAATCAACAATGGTGGAGCTAGCCCTGTGGCTGAGCAGTTACGTGCTCGCGCTCCGTTGCTGGCGGCCTGGGTTCGGATCCCAGGCGCGCACCAAGGCACTGTTTGTCAGGGCATGCTGTGGCAGTGTCCCACATGAAGTGGAGGAAGATCGGCACAGAGATGTTAGCTCAGGGCCAGTCTTCCTCAGCAAAAGGGATTGGCATGGATGTTAGCTCAGGGCTGATCTTCCTCACACAAACACACAGACAAAAATGGTGCTCTTGATAAAGAGCAAGTTATCTGCATGTTGTTTCCCACAGATTGCTTCTTAGTTGCCAGGGGTAAACTATACGATGCAGAAACGGGATACCACTTTGACGAATCAAAATTAACAACAAAGCAAACCAACAGTGTGCTCCTGGATAAACCTGAGAAGAGCGTAAGGTCACTTTGGGCGATGGCTAGAATACGTAATCCAAGTCTAACCATGAAGAAACATCGCTCAAATGCAAAATGAGGAACACTTGATATTTTTAAAAATTGGCCTGTACTCTTCAAAAATGTCAAGGTCACTAATCAAGGCTGAGGAACCATTCCAGATTAAAGGAGACTAGAGCCATGACAACTAAATGCAATGATCCTGTACTGACTGCAGGAGGATAAAAAAATACTACCAAGGATATTATTAGGACAATTAACAAAACTGGAACAAGGATGGTAAAGTATATCAGTGTTACATTTCCTGAGTTTTATAACTTTACTGTGGTTATATAAGAATATTCTTATATTTGGGATATATGCCAAAGTACTAAGGAGTAAGGAATCAAGATGTATGCAAACTCAAATGGTTCAGACAATATGTAGAAAGACAATGAAAACAAATGTGCAAAAATGTTAAAGACTAAATGTGGGTAAAGGTTTATACAGCTTTCTATATTACTCTTAAAACTTTTCTAAATTTATTCTAAAATAAAAACCTAGGGCCGGCCCCGTGGCTTAGCGGTTAAGTGCTCGCGCTCTGCTGCTGGCGGCCCGGGTTCGGATCCTGGGCACGCACCGACGCGCCACTTCTCCGGCTATGCTGGGGCCGCGTCCCACATACAGCAACTAGAAGGATGTGCAGCTGTGACATACAACTATCTACTGGGGCTTTGGGGGGGAAAAAAAATAAAATCTTTAAAAAATAAAATAAAATAAAAACCTAAAATCAAACCAATGGCTGCTGAAATGCCCAACTTGTTGAATATAACAGTGTAATTAATTCAAAATAGTAAAACAGCTAAGAGTTTGGAATCTAGCCTGGTTTAAATCCTCTCCTACTCATGATGTGAGCTTGGGTAAATTATACTAAACTTCTGCATCGGTTTCCACTCAGGATTGTTAGATAAATTAAAAGCTTAGAACAGTACCTAGCCATGATAAACATTCCCAGTGTCATTTCAAATAAATTCTAATTGGTCAGAAAATATGTGCAAGTATTTTGAAATTAAGAGTATCTTTTTTCTTTTCCATGAAGGCAAAAGGCCAAGCTGGTTACCTATTAAAAAATGACAGAATGTCCTTGATTCCTGTTCTTGTTGAAATTACAAATCCAACTGCCAGGTTTCTGCTTCTCAATTTACTTTTTAGCCATGGAATATAAAATAAGCCCCTAAGGTCATCAGAGACACCTATGCAGTGACTTGGGGAAAAAAAGTAACCACTTCAAGTTTTGTGTATTCACCTGAATAGTCAGGGAACTTTCACCTATTTTATTTAGGTTTTCATTTTTTCAAATTCCAACCAGAAGCTAAATACAATTGGAAACTGGTAAGTACTAAGTTTTACTCCAAAGGAGTAGGATCAATCAAATTTACCCCAATAAAAGTACGCAAACCCTTAAGCAAAGCTTTTCTTCACTTAAAAAAAAAAAAAAAAAAAAAAATACTATACAGTAGTCTTTCCTTATGTTCATTGCACAAAATGAGTTCTGCTTTTAGAACTTTGACACTCAATGGTTTTGTCTTTTTTTGTTTTTACAATTTAAGATCCCAACTTTAATAACTTTTTCTACTCCAAAAAAACCTTCTTTAGAATGGTACAAAAACCATTAATTCTGCACAATTCACTGGAATTATTTTCTTTGTAATAAAAATCTCTTTAAAACCCAAAAAACAAAACAGAAACCAAAAAGGAAAGTCCTCTACCTATCATGGTTTCTGCAGCTATGAATGTATTTCTCTGTTTGATAGCTGCTTTAGCTACTTCAGACTCAGATCTGCTTTAATGTGTAAAATTATACCCACACTCAGCAGAATACTCTTTTATAACAGCAACTTGGGGAAAGAGATCTGGAAATAAAATACATATATTTATGAGTACCAGGAAACAAACATGGCCCAGTAAAATATGAGGCAAGAATGCCTACAATGAGATGCTTTTTTCACTTAAGATTTCTTTCCCACGGTTGTATTTTCTTTCTTTTTTAACAACCACTTCTGGTCGTTAAAATGAATCTGATAGTGCTCTGGAACAACGGTGATTACAGCAAAGCTATTTAGTTTTTTAAAATGTTATTTATACCTGTTACATTCACTTCTCACCCTCTAAATACTGATGACAGATGTCAAAGAGGCAAAAACCAGCACAAATGGAAAGACCATCAAAAATGAGTATCACCTTGTGCTTTCAGATACATTTAAGCATTTCAGTGTACAAGAGTCCTTTCATTTCACATTTTTAGTAAGATGCTGATGCAGTGCAGCAAATATGCAAAGCATCTTCTTTCACACAGTCCGTGCAGAAGACATCTAATTTTTTTAAAGTTCTGAGATACAAATGATTAAAAAAAAAATCCAGGATGAATAAGTTTCAAAATGCATAGTGTTCTGTGCATGAGTCCATTTTCTTTAAACTCTGAAAGAATAAAGTGGTAAGAAAACAAGAAAAAACTGCTGCTGCACTCTCTGATCTTCTCCATTTTGCTGGTCAGTACTCTATTCTGGCATATAAGGATGGAGGTGATCCTCTATGGTGCCAACTGCCCAGTGGGTAAGCTGTTCCTGTGGCAGGTAGAGGCAGATGCTGCATAACTTGAAGATTGTAGCTTTGTTTTTTGGAGTCTGGAAGGGGAAAATTTTAATATTCTTAGTAAATAAGACTTTAACATAACTGACCAATTGTTACATGAAGTCAATCTCCCACACTTTTTAAGCACTTATGGACACAGTAACAAACCACGTAGAGTAAGGGAATAAATTATGGTCCCTACCCATAGGGACCTTAGTCTGGTTAGGAATACAGAATCTTGCCATGCAAAATACAGAAAAACAGAGTAAACATAATTAGAAACTAAAATGTTTAGAGAATTTATGCAGAATAAAAAACAGGCAAGTCAACCATAGACTACTTGCTAAAAGAAATTAGGGATAAAGGCATTTCATGGAGACAGATTTGAATAGAAGTTTGAAGTCATGTTTGTATATACAAAGATAGCAGATGTGATGACACTAGAAGCTAAGAGAAAATTAGAAGTAAAAAAAAGATTTAAGCATATCCTGGGGTAAAGGACTAGAAGAAAGCCAAAGCATTACCAGATAAATCAAACTCTAAGTATCATTATTAAAAAGTAGTTACTATTTTAATATCTAACTTATGGCAAACATGCGCTAGGCACTTTCACAAATAACCACTACTAGAAAATGGGAGACGGTGGGGCCAGCCGGGTGGCGTAGTGGTTAAGTTCTTGCACTCTGCTTCGGTGGTCCTGGGTTCGCAGGTCTGGATCCCAGGCACACACCTACACACCACGTCAAGCCATGCTGTGGCAGCCTCCCTATACGAAATAGAGGAAGATTGGCACGGATGTTAGCTCAGGGCTAATCTTCCTCAAGCAAAAATAGGAGGATTGGCAACAGATATTAGCTCAAGACCAATCTTCCTCATCAGAAAAAAAGAAAATGGGAGATGGAATCTGAACCCAGACCTGCCTTCAAAGTTCATCTTCTTTTCACTATAGCAATCTACAATAAAGGCAAGAGAACAAAAGACTGCCAATGCCTGAAGCAGTCTATATATGTAAATTAATCCATACATATGCACATTTTTTTTTCATTTTAAATGTTACAACAACCTTATCAATATCATTTACTCAATTTAACAAAAAGAACATGCTCACAGAAGTTACTTGTCTAAGATCTCATAGCCAGTTAGTGGCTACATGTATATCAGAATTCAGACTTGAGGCATGTGCCTCTATACCATTTGCCCATCCAAAATTATCCTCGGGTGTAGCCCTTATCCTCTATCTTATCTTATGATAAAGGGCACAAGATTTCCAGTAAATGATTTTGATCAAGTAAGTCAATTGACTTCCTTAGCTATAAAATGGGAGTAATAAGATCTACACCTCAGAGGACTGTTGTGAGGATTTAATGAGCTCATACATGTAAAGTTCTTAGTATATAGTCTGGTACATAATATACTATACATGTTGGCCACTATCCTATCAATCCCCCCCATGAACTAATAATAGAGGTTGATTCTTCTATATAATGCAAATATGGCAACACATCTATAACTTACAGAGATCAAGAACAAAACCTGAGTGGAAGGAGACTATGAGCAATGAAGACCAAATTCATCTACAACTAGGGTGACCAACCATCCCAGTTTGCCCAGAACTGAGGGGTTCCTCGGACTTGGGACTTCCAGTGCTAAAACCAGAACATTTCAGACTAACTGAGACTTTGCGCACCCTACCTACAAAACCAAATTTAGCTTATGACCTGTAATTTTCTTTTCATTAAAAGGATTCAAGCTGTTTGCTTCATAAAGCATAGAAAACATCTGACCTTGACACATAACAGGACATGATTTACTGTTTTTTTAGTGAAGTAACTTCTTCAAATCCCTAGTCATTTCTATACAGAATTAATGATCTCATAGATATTCACATGAAAATGAAATCTCTACACTAGTAAACTAGTCATTAAATCATCTGTGACTAAAAATCTCTTTGTGTTGTGGATTCTCTAAGAGCCTGCTATATAGTTTTTTCACAACAAATAACTCAAATAAAAGTACACTATAAGCAGTTAAAAAGGAAAAATAAGTCAACCTAAAAATATCCACTACAGGAGAGCTAAGGCAAAGGAGAAACCGAAAATAAAAAAAAAAACAAAAAAACCCACCTAAGTTACATGGTTTTTCTAATAGTTTTATCAAATACCTCCAGTGAAATTAACTTTCTTCTGTAATTCCCACAGTTCTTTTACTCGTACCTATACATAATTACTTAACTTTCTACAAGATAGAAAGCAAATACATAATCTTCCCAAGTAGTCTATCAGCTCCTCGATTCACCTTTGTATTTTTTAGTACCTTGCATAGGCTCTCTTAAATAAAAATAAACATATGTTACATAATGCAATTAACATAATAAATACTTTTTTTTTTTTGTCTTTACATAAACCACCTTCTCAATGAGGCATTCTCTGGTGACATCATCTAAGAATTCCTACCCAACAGTTTATATCTCCCCCCTTTTCTCTTAACACTTATCATTATCTAACTATATATTTTACTGATCTACTGCTGGCTCCACCACAATGGAATATGAATCCACGAGGACAGGAATTTTTGTTTATCTTGTTCATTGCTGTATAGTGCCTGGCACTTAGTAGGCACTCATTTGTTGAATGAATGATAAATAAATTTAAATGATGCTATTTTTAAAGATTAATAACAAAGTATTATAAATTCTAAGTGATGATATTCAGGTTTAGGTTGATCAGAATAAATAGCATTTTATATAATAACAATTAATTTGGAATACCTGGATTGCTACTTAAATTATTTAAAACACATGTGGATCTTTTAAACCCAGATGTGCCTCATCCCTTCAGATTTTTATTTAAAAGGTCAGTGCTTTTCAAATTATGTGTTTCCAATCATCTGAGGATTGTGTTCAGAATGCAGATTCTGATTAAGTTGGACTGGAGTAGGGCCTGGGAGTCTATATATTTAAGCAGTTTTCAGGTGATGTTGATCTGTCCACCATACTTTAGGTAGATAAGCTCTAGGGCAGTGTTTCTCAAACTCTACTGTACACTGGAATCATGACTTTTAAAAGCTCCCCAAGTAGTTCTAATATGCAGCAAAGTTCGGGAACCACCACTCTAGGATAAACCCCAGGATATCTGTTTCTTGTTTTTTAAATAACTTCAAAAAGAATGCAGTGTTGAGAGGGCAAAACAGAATTAAGTAACTTATATAGAAAACAGCTTGCTAACCAAAAAGCTTTCTAAATAAGCCCTTCAATGATTTAAAAAAAAAAAGTTTACCTGCAAGTGCTGTCTGTCAATGAAGAGAAACACTGACTGGTTAGGATTGTTGACAACAATTCCAGTCTTGTCCTTGCGGCTCAGTACATGCAGAAACTGTTTTTCATAGTCACCGTGATGAAACTCAAATTTGGCCTAATTAAGAAATACAAACATTTATATGTAACTACAAACAAGTTACACTACTTAAAACATCTACTGCACCCATATGCATATAGCTGTGCTGTCCAATATGGCAGCCCGGAGTGGCTACTATTTAAATTAATTAAATGCAATTTAAAATTCAGTTCTTCAGTAACACATTTCAAAAGCTCAAGAGTCACATGTGCTAGTGGCCACCATTTTGAATAGTCTCTTGAGATGTAGAGCACTTCCTTCATCACAGAAAGTTCTATTGGATAGCACTCCATTATATAATTTGACCTTCAAGAAAAACTCTGCACCAAAGTGACTAAATCCTAATACTCAATTTTAAGCCAAATTTCACAAAATAAGATTTTCAAACCTACTCAGCTCAAGACTCCTACCTTAGTACTTTAATTAACCCCAACAGCACCTCCCTTCTTTCCATCATAACAAAGAAACACTAGATGACTCTTGGAAAGAAATCTATTCCAATCCCAGCGGCACATCTCACTACTTGTGTGACCTATGCAAGCAAATTCTTTAACTTTTCTAAATTTCAGCTTCCTCAATTATAAAATAGACAGGCTCTAACCCATCAGGTCAGTTAAGAGGATTAAAAGAAATATAAAGCCCATACCTCAAATATAGTTGCAATCCTCACAGATTGGGCTTCTGAGAATGAATTCCTCAAAATTTTTAAAAACATGTTTTCATGTGCATTTTTTCAGATTCTTAGAAAAAATTTAAGTTATGAAAGATTGTTATCAATTAAGTTAAAACATTCTTTTAATCTTTGTTTTTTTTTTTTGAGGAAGATTGGCCCTGCTCTACCATCTGTTGCCAATCTTCCTCTTTTTTTCTCCCCAAAGCCCCAGTACGTAGTTGTGTGTCACAGTTGTAGAGCTGTAGCTCTTCTATGCGGGACGCCACCTCACCATGACTTCATGAGTGGTGAGTAGGTCCACGCCCAAGATCCAAACCAGTGAACCCCGGGCAGCCAAAGTGGAACGCGCAAAGCTAACTGCTACACCACCAGGCCAGCCCCTCTTTTACTCTTTTACCATGAGGAAGATCAGCTCCAACCTCCCACAAAATGTCTGTGAAGAGGCCAAATGCTGGGTGAAAAGACCAGGCTAACAGAGAACTCAAGAAACCTAGAAACTTTAATCTGATATTTAGAAAATACTGAATTGTAAAATGATTGTTTAGTCCATTTGGTTCAAACAATCTTTATTCTCTTACTACATCAAAGACAGCAGGAAATACTAACATGGAAAAACCATCAGTTCCTGTTATCTAGGATTTTACCACCCAGAAGCTTTTCTTATCAAGTCATAACATAAAATATGATATGGTATCCCTACATACTCTTGTATGTAAAACATGAAATTGAATTGTACCTCTGCACAATTCAAATACTTACTGAACTCTTAGTATATGAAAAGCATATTATTAGATACTGAAAAATATGAATAAGATTATCTCAATCTTAAGGAGCTCACACACTGCTGAAAAGGACAAGCACATGCAAATATAAAACTTAACTTGCTTTAAATCTTTCCTAGAATAAGATGTGGTTATTTCTAAATCCTAAACTGAGTTCTTAATGTCAAAGTGCTATGGGAGGAAGGAAGAAAAAATAACAGAGTGGGAAATAATTAACAAAGAGGGCAATGTGGGCAGCATTAGCAGGTGACTTTGGATTGAGCCTTGAAAGATAAGGATAATTTTCCCTGGGGAAAGTAGTAATGTCAATAATTTGGCAAATGCCATTCTAGGAAACAGAACCTACACCAACACAAATGTGTCAAAATCAAGATACTGTTCAACCAAGAAAGCTTCAAATATTTCAATATGGCAAATACCAGGGTGGATGGGAGAGGCCAGTGGAGTACCACACTGAAGAGAGATTTGAGTGAGACTAAAAAGGGCCTTCCATATAATTCTATGGCATTTCAATTCTACCCTATTGAATAACCAAAGATTTGAGAAAGAATGATCCACACCAAATAGAAAACTCTAATACGCAGCATGAAAGAAGCAATTCCCAGAAGAAAAGTAATGAAATATTTTAATAGTGTGATGAAGAGCTAACCTGCAGCAGTAGCATTAGGGATGAAGAGGAAAGAAGACACACTTTAATAGTACCTCCCAGTACTTCACAGTACTCTGAATACAGCGGGAACTTAACACTGAAAAACAATCTTTACTCTGGTTCCTATTAAATCTCACTACTGAAGTATTCAGATTTTAAAGTGCTTCAAGAGTCAAAAAAAGAAAGTTTGAAAGTTCAAGTTTACCTGTCCTTTTCTCATTCACCTTAAGAACAAAGTTATTTTTATTCAAGGCTTCTCATTCAGGATATTCATATATTTTAATACATCAGGGAAGTAAATTCGTTTGTACAATGTTAACTTACTTCTGTAGTTGAATTTTATTTTTTTAAAATATTTTTTAATTTTATTTATTTATTCTTCCCCCCAAAGCCCCAGTAGATAGTTGTATGTCATAGTTGCACATCCTTCTAGTTGCTGTATGTGGGACGCGGCCTCAGCATGGCCGGAGAAGCGGTGCGTCAGTGCACGCCCGGGGTCCAAACCCGGGCCGCCAGCAGCGGAGCGTGCGCACTTAACTGCTAAGCCACAGGGCCGGCCCTGTAGTTGAATTTTATAATTACAAGACATTACACCTATATCCTACTGCTTATATTCAGTTCCTGATTTAAGGTTTTATAACACAGGGAACTTCCCAGAGAACAGGTTAGTCAGTTAGGAGCACATAAGATTTACAGTCAGCTCAGACTTATCTCTTGACTGCCACTGAAACTACAGGACCTCGGGCTGGTTATTCACCTAATCTGTAACTGCCTCAGTTTCTTTCTTTGCAAAAGGAGATTCATATCTACTAGTTATTTTAAGGACTGAGATTAAATGTACATTAAGTATTTAGGACACAACTTAACACAGTCAACACTCAATAAACAGCCATGATTTCAAAGAAAACTAACACTTGAATCAAGACTATTTTAACACAATTATTCCAAATAAGGTCTCAGAGGGAAAGACAGGGTACCAGAAATTCAAAAACATACCATGATAAGTGGACCTAAATTTTTCCAATGGGAACTTCTGAATTGGGAAAAAAAAAAAAACAAACAGGGCCACCAAGTGGTGCAAGCGGTTAAGTGCGCGTGCTCCGCTGCGGCAGCCCGGGGTTCCCCGGTTCCGATCCCGGGCGTGCACCGACGCACTGCTTGTCGAGGCATGCTGTGGCGGCATCCCATATAAAGTGGAGGAAGATGGGCACAGATGTTAGCCCAGGGCTGATCTTCCTCACAAAAAAAAATAAAAGAAAAAATCAAAGAAAACAAAAACCCTAACAGTGCTTCTGGAGAGCAGTTACAGTTGAAGTGTAAAACCTGTTCCGAAAACTATAAACATACCTTTTCCACTGTCTTCTTGCCTTTTATATTCTCCAGCACATTCATGTTAAATATCATCCATTAAAAGAAGACAAAATATATCATATCATACTTTTACCTATATTTAGCCTATGCGTTATCTTTACAACTTGTTACTGTCAAACAAATCTTAGAGAAAGGAATGATACTTTATTAGAGCTGATGTGTAGGAACATAACCAGGGAGAAAAGAGGAGTATACCAATTTGTCTATCACATACAAAAGCACCATCAAGATACTTCATAGTAACAGATAAATGCAAATTTTTTCAATGACAATTTTCATATTCTTAAGCATTAGCTGAAAATAAGCCTTCTAATATTTAGTTTAGTATACTTAAAATGCATCTTTAAATGTCATTTTTTTCTGATTGTAAAATAAAAGTATGCTTATTGTAGAAAATTATACTATAAATAAAACTAGAATCATCAACACCTGGGTAAATGCCCTTAAATAAACACTAGAAATGGTCAAGTACATCAAATGACAAGTTAAAAGTTATCAAGACCTCAAGGAAGGTGATAAGAACCACTACTAATTTTACTTCTCTCCTATACAGTTTTATATGCAAATCAACTTCTAGAAAAGGATTTTTTAGATCAGATTCCTCTGAGAACCAGGATAGTTAGGTATACTACAGTCATGCATTGCTTAAGGACGAGAACACGTTGTGAGAAATGAATCATTACGCGATTTCATCACTGTGAGAACATTATAGACTGTACTTACACAAACCTACCATACACCTAGGTTATACGGTACTAATCTTATGGGACCACTGCTGTGTACGTGGTCCATAGTTTACTGAAACGTTGTTATGTGGTACATGATTATATTTCAGGAGTGTGTGTGGTGCAGGAGAAGAGATCTTCTGAAGTTCATCTAGGGGCCCCTCTATAAATCAACAAATGTCTACCTTAAAAGATTTTCTCTGGCCGTAATTTTAAAGACACATGGGGTAGTTAGAACCACCTCCTTCTCAAGAGATTCTATAATCCAAATGCTTTCTCTTCTTGTATTACAATATTCAAAAGGATGGGGGGTACTCATGAAATAAAACTTATCAGAAAGCATATTCACAACAACAACAAACACATAGATACAGAGATTAGACCGGTGCGGGGAGCAAAAGGAGTAATACAGCACATGTATATGGTGACCAATGGTAATTAGTCTTTGGGTGGTGAACATGATGTAGTCTACACAGAAATCGAAATATGATGCACACCTGAGATTCATATAATGTTATAAACCCATGTTACCGCAATAAAAAATAAACTTTAAAAAAAAAGAAGCATACTCCCAAAGAAGTTCTTAATATAGAGACTATTTCAAGGAGTTCTCACTTATTTAAGCACTCAGCATACTTATTTTAGAATACGATACCTGAACAGGCCTAAAAGGCTCATCAGATTCCTTCCACCTAGAAAATAGGAGACAGACAATTTTTTCAATATCATTCCGAGGCCAAAGAATGAAATCCATCTCCTGAGTACAGCCAATCACATCCTATAAAATGATAAAAAAAAAATTTTACTTTCAAAGAAACAAAGCTGTAACAAGCAATGTCACAAATTATAGGGTTTAACTATAGAAACATTTTACAAATGCAAAAGGTTCACTATATATCATTAAAAGGTAATAGTAATAGGACTGTATACAATCTGACTAGCTCATGACCTAAGTCTAACTTTTATCTTGTAGAGTCCACTCAGTCCAATGTCCCTCACATCAGGACCTAAATTCATCAGTGTACAGTGAAAACTCCAACTAAAGCTCTGATTTTTTTTTTTTTTTTTTTTTTTTTTTAAGTCCATGCACCTTTATTTCCACTTTTCAAAACCAGAACCTGTTTAAGCAAAGGTGTCTTCGAACTTCTAATATGAATCACTACCTTCTTATGATAGCTGAAATGTTATTTTTGTTATATGCTGACAGAAAACTACTTTTCTCCATTCTTGTTCCTCTTATTATCACAGTCCAGCATATTAATTTTCAAATGACCATAAACCTCTTCCACACCAGTACATGGTTATCTCCAATCTTCACCCAACCCACTAATTGTGGGGATCTCTTACTCAAGTACGCCAAGATTAACTTCCAATGAGTTGCAGAAGTTTAGAAGGTTGGCAGCAATAATACCCTCTACTTTATTAAGTTTCTTATTTATAAGGGGCACGATGTTCTCCCCCTAAAAAGGAAAACCCAATAAACAGTAATATAAAACATTACCCATGGCAATAACATACACCATTATCAGCAAAATACCACATAAGAAAAGTTATCTATATGTTTTATTTGAAGTCAACTTTTAAAGAGAATCATAACCATAATAACTACCCATTCTTAGGGAGAAAAAAAGAAGCTTAACTCACAAAAACTTACTAAATCAACACTTAAAAACAGAACTTACTCTTCTCATAGACTGGTATCGAGGAGCATGGAGCTGTACCACATCCTTCTGTAAAAGCTCTATGGAACTTTCCAAGGAATAGCTGGAATCTCTCACACCTTTCAGGATATTTTCTTCATAATTATTTGTCATGACTGGTATAACCTCAGACACTTCAAAAAGTGCTGATTTTTTCTTCTAAAAGACAAAAAAGGTGTATTAACTCACAGGTAGCACACTGTCTTCTAATATCCAGTTCATATTACAACGTCACGTATCTTCATCCTTACTTCTGTTAAGAATTTTGGTGAGTTATTTTTGTACCGAAAACACAGATTTTCAAATCCGTGGATCCTTCTGTTCTTCCCCCAACTCCTTTTTCGCCCAACCAAATACAACCAAGCCATTATCAGACTGTTTTACTGCCCGATTTTGTAGCATTATGGTGTCCATAGCAAGTACTTATTTTAGACAATAACATTTCTTAAATGCTGTGAGAAACAAACAGTAGAGACCCCTAACATTTGGAACAAAAAAAAGTGATTTACTCGATGTAATTTCATTTAACTGGTTCTATATAACGCAAAATTAAAATCTCAGCAGCTTAAAAACAAAGCCATTCAGACAAATTAACTGTTACTCCTTAAAAGGATCAATTTCCATTACTCCTTCTGGGTATTATATAACTACAATATTTGAAAGAAAAAGTGTCTAACAAATTGAGTTTCAAATTTAGTTAAGACTAAGTACTCATCAATTTAGGTTATAAAATTCATGAACTACTCTGGACAATTGCCTGGATGCTGTCCATTCCCTGAATAAAAACAGGTTTTCATCGATGTTAACGAACTAGATGGTAGAACTTGAGGCATCTTACAGATTAAATACAAAGACCTATTTTCACCACTTATATCTTGCATTTATTTCTAGTGAACCTACATTATAATATCTTCAACTAAAATCTGATCTCATCAATTCTGTAGCCAACTTTTTGGGAGAAAACAGAGAAGTAAACTCACGGTACTACCCAATCTCGGGACAATCACTTCTAAACAAATCACTTTTGAAACAACTTGACAATGCTATACTCTAGCAGCAATAAGAGCATTCTTAAATACTAACAACCTTTAAGAGTTGAGAGTGGGGGTACCTGGGAAACTTCCAAATATTAAATAGATACCACACCAAGATTCTATTTCTAAGCTGAAATCAGCTCACAATTTACATACAAAAAATCAAAGTACTTCCTTACATTCATAACCTAATCTCATATGTCAAAGAGTATCAAAGACACTGTCCATTTTTTAAGTTGCAAAAAAATACTGCTTTTATCATGTTCTCCTTCACTACTCACAGTCATCATTTGCTGTTTACCTGTAGAATTAATTCTGATTAAGACCAAAACCAAAATTTAAACTTCCTCTTTAGGTCATTTTGAATTGCAATAAATTGCACTTCTAAACACAAATTAACCATTACAGAATTTATTGCTCCTAAAAATTAAAGTGTATTCTATTTCATTAAATGTACCATAAGAAAAGGTACTTACAGCATGGAGTTGAAGCAAGACTGCTTTTAGCCCATAAACTTTTTGATTCTAACACTACTTTCATACATTCTACTTCTACTTTAGATGATTTTTAAATTTATGAAGTTCTCTATATAACTCCACATAAATGAAATTTATTATAAAACGTAAACAAAAGTTTCACGATGTTGCCCACCCCATGTTAACTAAAAGTGAACCCTACTAAGCTTTAGAATATTTCCAAACCAGTGAGTACTGAAGGCTTCCATTCAGTTATTACCCATAAGGGTGCAAGTTCGCATATAACGTAGACTTAGGTCAACCACTCTTTACTATTCAATTATTTAAGGCTAACAAATAAGTTAATACACACTTACAAAAATCACTTGTGCTAATTCACATTAAGAACTTTAAATTACCTTCTCCTTGAACACAAAGGCAATATACATCTTGAAGTCAAACTGGTCAGCTAGAGATTCTTTTTTCTTTCTAAGCTGAGCACGTAGTCTGTTCAGAGCTTGTTTCTTCCGGGAGTTTGGGTCCCCCATTTTGAAATACAGGTGGTACTAAAGCCTTTGGAAATTGTCACTAAACTATGGGCACTTTTTCTTAAGACTCAAGTACAACAGAAACAAGTCATTTTTTTCCTGCTAATATGATTGAATAGCTAAAATCACGACTGTAACCCAAAAACTGCACCTTCTGGCAATATTAGCAGACTGTCATATTACAGGGTCAAGAAACAAAAGCTGCTGTCCAGTCATGTTTAGACAATAACGTTTGGGATGGATGGGAAAAAGGAAGGGAAGGAAAGAAAGAAAGAGGAGAAAATACCTGAACTAACTTTTTGGAAAACACATTTGGCTTAATTGCCAAAATAAAGGTTGGGGGGATGAAAAGCCTATTATCAGGATTTAGGTGTGCAATAAAACACAGCTGATGCCAGTTCAATCTTTAGAATCCATTCGGATTTTTTTCCCCCTCTTTTTTAGAAAAGGGACTATGAAAAGGAACGGGGAGGGGGAAGTGTGATCCTCGCTTTCCAAATACCAAAAAGGAAAGAAAGAAAGAAAAAAAAAAGGAAACCACCAAACAAAAACCCCAAAAACACCAAATCAGGGTAGGTGAATGAAACTGAAATATCCAATTGGATTTTACCCAGCCAGACCCATGGCTGTAGTACCTAATTACTTCTTAGTTATTTCAGATTTCACTATTGCTATGTATTGTCAGTGCTTGTTATTGATTACACTTGGTGGTGAGCAAAGAGAAAAGTGCAAAATCGGTAGAGAAGGACGGGGAGAGGTACAGGGTTTCCCTGCAATCAACTACAGTGTATACCGGGGGCGGACAGCTGTTGCCCAAAGGAGCCATGAGAAAAAATAGCGGAGTCATTACCAACTTCCCCATTACCCACGTTTTCACCCTCAGGCGGCTGCTAATGCTGCTGCCAAGGAAAATCATGATGGCAGAGGGAAAGGGGGTATATAATACGATATAATTATTTCGGCTCTGTGGTTAGACCTGATTAATGCCCGGGATCCCAACACCCTCAGCTGCATGCAATGAGTTCTACATTCCCCAAGGGAGCCTTCCCTATGAATCTACTCCCGTTCAAGATCGTGGGGAGAGCAACTTATTTTCTTACAAGCATTGCTGAGGCAAAGGTGGCGGGTTCTTCTCCCAAATCCCAGGCAGTGCCCGGGGACCACCTGCCTTCCACCCCCCACGTCCCACCCCCACCCCTTGCCTTCAGCGGCAGCGACTCACTCGCACCACGGGAGACACAGGATCACTCAGGTTCTCACTCATTTCATCGTGGAAAGAACTCCCGCCCGGGTAGAGTAGGCGGGAAGGGTAAATGGGAAGGATCAGCGGGAAAAAAGAAAACAGTTGTGTTAATATTACTTTTCAAAGTATGCCCACCCAAACGCTCCAAAAAAAATTAAGTTCCCGGATTCCGGATTAGCTCTCGCTCAGGTTGAACAGACCATGTTTCCGAGTTTGGACTGTTTAGGGCGGGGTCGTTAGTTGGTTTCCCGAGGGAGCCAAAGGGATGGAATTGAGGCAGCTGGGGCGGGGCTGGGTGCCGGGGAAATCCCCTCCCTGTCCCCGCGGAGACCGGGACTCACGGACCGACTCTCGGGCGGGGTTCGGGCCCTCTAGCCGCAGCCTGCGGGCGGAGCGGTGGCGGCGGCGGAAGAGGAGGCGGCGGCGGGGGCGCTGCTCGCAGCACGGGCAGGAGCCATGTCAAGAGAAAACCACCAGCCAACTGAGCCCCTCCATCCCCGCTGCAGTGCGCACTGTGACCGGACCGCCCGCGCTGCTGCCGCCGCTCAGCCCCCACCTGGGACCCATAGTCTGGCTCGGCGCCCCGGGCGGCGGCGGAGGGAAAGACGCGGAGACAGAGGCGACGACGAGAGAGAGAGAAAAGGAGGAAAAACGAGGAGAAAGAGGGGTAGGATCGGTACTGGCGGCGGAGGGGGAGGGGAAGAAGGGGAGGGGAGCCCTGCGCTAAGGGATCTGTCAGCGAAGTAAACCCCCCAAAATAAAGTTATTTCAGTTCAAGCATCTGCTCTTGAGTCTTTCTTCCCCCCACGGGCGGGTTCCGGCTCTCAAGAAAGAAGGTCGAGGAGACTCGGAGGCGAGAAAAGCCGAAGCGGAAGGTGAACGTCCGCGGTGGCTCAGCCTCGTTCCCCCCCACCGGTGGCTGCGGAAGCGGCGGCGGCCTCGGGCGCCTCCCGGGTCCGGGGCAGAGTCGCGTTTGAGAAAAGAAGCGAGAACAAACAACTTAAAATGGCAGCGACGGCCGCTGCGTCACCCGCCCCTCACCGGCACCGCCCCAAATTCTCTGCGGCTGCGCACCCCGTGGGCCTCTACCATATGCACGGAAATAAGGGGGGAGAAAAGACTGGAGCCGGGAACGTTTTCAGGGTTATCAAGGAGAGAGGAGAAAAGAGCAGGAGGAGATGGTGTGAACAAGATCTTAAAAGGGTGAGTCTTTGAAATTAAACGTTTTAGTTGGTATTTCCGCCTCAAAGAGAGTTTAAGAATAAACACTCCCCTCTTGTCCAGTATGGACTTTCCATGGGGCGTGGAAAGAGGCAACCCATACTCCCTCCGCCCCCCTCCGTCTGGAGGTTCCAGTCTCCTGAGTTGGCTCCTCGCCCCTCCCCCACGGGCGTCATAAAACCACGCCCTTATGCCCTCGCGGACAAAGCACCCGGATGGAATCCCTCTGCCCGGGGCTCCTCAGCCTCTCAGACTCCTGCTGGGCGCGGGACGGGGCGGAGCCAGCGCGCGGAGAGTGGGCGGAGAGAAGGAGAAAAAGGAAAGTGTGTTGGAAGGTTGGGGGGAGAGTCTCGTTTCACTTTATTGTGGTGTTATTTCTAACCCGCTGATTGGTAATCCTTCTGGGGTCTGCCTCGCGGTATCTTGCAGCGACAAGCCGAGAATTCATTTCCGACACTTGGACTTGAAACAGCGTGCAGCAGAAAGAGTGTCACGTTGGTCCCGCGTGGCTCTCTGGCCCTCACCTCGCCACGTGCGCAGGTAGGGAGGGCGGTCCTCAGGCTCTGAAGGAGATCGGAGGCCGTTGGAGCGTTGCTGCTGTGACTTAGGAGAAAAACAGCCGAACCAGCCCCGTGGATTTTTCCCCCCTCAACTTGCAGAATATAATTGCTATTGGGATCCCTTAGGACCTCAGACCTAGGTCCTGTCCCATAGCTCTAATGTGCTGATAAAAACGCAATTATATAAGTGACTAATCAGCCAAAGGTCAACTCGACAAAAGCAAAGCTTAATGTCCTTTATGAGCCTCTCTGGGATGAAATTTTAGAAGTCAGTTGGGTCCCCAAATTACTGCTCTTCACTTAGTAAAATCAAAATAGGTTACCTGTAATAATGTTTTTTTCACCCGTGAGCCAAAAGAATAATTGGGACCCACCCTTCAACATAAATTGTTGTCCAGAAGTAAAGGATGAGATTCCTGAGGTTTCCAAATTATTGATAACCTTGAAAGATAAAGCTAGCGTTTTACTATTTCTTCCCTGATTGATTTTCACAATCACGTAATGATAATTGTGTGGAAAATTCATAAGGGTAAAATTGAAGATTTCAGGTGTTTATGACATTGGTTTAAAAAAAGATATAAAAAATTAGCAGTGGTTCATATCTTTTTGATCCAGTCTTAATTTGTATCCATCATATCCATGGAGGAGTTTTTTTGTTTTTTGTTTTGGTACCAGCTTTATTAGAAATATAATTCACAAAACAAAATTTACCTACTTAAAGTGTACAATTCAGTGGCTTTTAGTGTATTCACAGAGTTGTGCAACCATCACTACAATTTGAGAACATTTTCATTACCCAAACAAGAAACCTTGTATCCATTAGCAGTCACTCTTCTTCCTCTTTCCCAGCATTGGGCAACCACTAATGTGTTCTGTCTCTATAGATTTGCCTTTTCTGAACATTTCATATAAATGGAATCATACAATACTGGTATTTGTGACTGGCTTCCTAGCATAATATATTTAAGGTTTATCCATGTTGTAGCATGTTTTAGTACTTAATTCTTTTTTATTGCTGAATAATATTACATTGTATGGATTTTCTGTATTTTGTTTATCGATTCATCAGTTGATGGACATTTAGATTGTTTCTGCTTTTTGGCTATTACCAATAATACTGCTGTGAGCAGTTGTATAAAAGTTTTTGTGCAGATGTATGTTTTCAATTCTCTTGGGTGAGAATTGAATTGAACCTAGGAGTGGAATTAGAGACAAAAATGTTAACTCTACCTTTAACCATTTGAGAAACTACCAGACTGTTTTCCAAAGTGGTGACACCATTTTACATTCCCACCAGCAATGTATGAAGGCTCTAGTTTCTCTACATCTTTGTTATTATCTGTCATTTTGATTATATTCATCCTAGTGGGTGTGAAGTATCTCATGGTGGTTTTGATTTGCTGTACCCTAATGATTAATAGTCAAGCATTTATTGTAGGTACACGTCTCTTATCAGATATATGATTTCCAACTATTCTCTCCCATTCTGTCTGTGGGTTGTCATTTTGTTACTGAACCAAGTGGGTTTGCCTCCTGGTGAGTTAAATAAGACTCTGCACCAGTGGAAGTTGTCTCACAAAATCAAGTGTATTTGCAGCAAACAAGGAGTCATTTCCAAAGTCATGGCATCCCTGAACATAGGAAAGCAGGAACTTTTATTTGGTTGAGGAATGAATATTCAAAGAGGTGAATACCCACCTCTCCCTTTTGGGTGGGTATTTGCTTGCACAGGCTCAGTTGGAGAACATGCTTCCACATAATGAGGCCTAAGCTCCTCCTGGAGAGATCTTTGTATTAAAAATAAGGCAAAGGTCATGGTTGTAGCTCTTGTGGTGAGGCTTGGTCAGTTTCAGGATGGCTGGTGGTTACATCTCCCTTGAGTGCCTCATTTGGTCAGTTTCAGGATGGCTGGTGGTTACATCTCCTTAACACAAAAGGAACAGAAACAACTTGGAAAAACAGTTAATTGCTTCCAAACCCACCCTTAATTTCCTCTGGGCACTAGTTGGTGACATTTTCACTTTCCTAGTGGTGTTATTTGCAGCACAAAAGTTTTTAATTTTGATGTAGTCCAATTTATCTTTTTTTTCTTTTGTTGCTTGTGCTTTTGGTGTCTTGTTTAAGAAACCAATGAAAAATTTTTACATTACTATAATAATCATGAAAAAACAGGATGGAGCAGATGTTGAGGTAAAAAATGAAGTTTTCAGTTTTAGCTACTATGAAACAGAGTTGGAGATCCCTGGTCACAAGCTGAACAAATCCTATAACAATGTGTGCTGTGGGTCTGTAAGAGGTCTTAGTGAGATGAGCCAAGAAATAGCAGCAATGTGCCTTAGAGGAAAAAAACACTTCTAGCTCAATTTTCTCTGCAAATGGAGGGGCTGTAAAATGGGAAGGATAATCAAAAGCAATGACCATAAGGTTCCTCTGAAATTCAGATAAAAGTCATATAGAACTTACTTAACATTTAGCTTTGTTAACTATGGAAAAAGTCCACTTAATTATGTTAGAAATGACTTCTTTGGAGTCAGGCTGCTTCAAACACAATGAGATTTGTGAAGTGATGATGGTGGCACCCTGACTAAAAATGCCTGCTTAATTTCCCCTTATGGGTTTAAATGGCACCATTAGATACATTGTGTGTCATTTTCTTTCTTGAAATGCAGATACCACCAAAGTTTACATTTTTAATAAAATAACACGCTATGAAGGTTCTGTGCCAACTTCCTCCCTGAAGAAACAGAATCCAGACAGCTCCAAGGTTAACCTCCCAACCTCTAGGCAAACCAACTCTTCTGCATTTGTTCCAAGTTAAGAAATGATTACTCAAGCGTATGCTTACATAGTGTAACTGAATGAGAATAAGATAGCCAATAAAGTATTTGACCATTGTTCTTCACTATTCTAAAAAGAACCAGCCTTCTCTCTTACCTTTGAAATATACCTTGTCTGAATACACATTCTCTTTCAAAAATCTAGTTTTCTCAACACCACTGCCCCTTATATTTATGGCCAGCAAGCATACTAGATTTTTCAGGAATTCGCAAATATTTTATCCCTTCTTTAGTTTACCCGACGGTCTTGATTTTTGGTCATATTCATGGTTTATAGTTTAATAAGCAGATAAACATCTACACAGAATAAGTTTATGCTTAGACTATACAAGCCTGGAGAACTAGTTCTGATACTCTATAGTTGGAGCCTAAAAGCAGCAGCACCAGAGGCCTGGTTCTCCAGATTTCAGCCTTACAGGTTTACCATGTAAAACAACTATGATAATATAGGTGATAAAGTTTTCACAGTCCAATAGGGATTATTCATAGCATATACTCTAGCACACACAGA